ATGTGAATTACAGAGAAAATGTGCACAGCTACCGAGCGGCTTCCTTAATACACTTGTGCTGCAGATGGGCTTTGTCTGTGCATGCCTTGGCCGGCAGACCTGGCCTTCATTTAAATTTTATGTATCATATGAGAAAAACAAGGGTTGTTGTTCTTTTTTTCTTTCTTTCTTTTTTTTTTTTTTTTTTTTTTTAAGGTACTGGCTTGCTTTTATAGTTGTCTAATTATTTTTTGCAAGTTAATTGCTGCATTTTATATTTGCATTTTTGCTGCACTGTGTATTTCTCAAAGTCAGGATAATCAAAAAGAAATTCTGGGCAGGCACAATAAGGAGCCATTTGAACAAAGACCCCTTTGTGCAATTAAACACAGCTGTGCCACAGCCTTTGGTGACTCAGGTCTTCAAGATATGGCACAAGTTCTTCTGAGTTCATGTTATGATGTTGTCTGAAGAAATCTGGTTAATTTTTTTTTTCCTATCTTTTCCCAACAGGAAATCAGCTTTTTGATTAAATACATTTGCTTGACTGTATTGTCATTATTTTCTACCAGCACTGACCTGGGAGAACAGTGTCAATTTAAACCCATATAAAATGTTAAGCAGCTCTTATGCCCCCTAAACAGCGATTCTTCTGACATTCATGGATCAGAAATAGTGCGTTAGAGAGGGAGGATTTGATCTGCCTGACCACCTATGGAGCTGCTGCATCTTCCAATGAAGCAACCTCAGGCATCAGCTGAGCTATATAAACTATCTGTGTGTGTGCTCCTACCCCTGGTGAATGGGAGGTAAATTACCTCTGCTTGAGTTACCTCTGTCTGGGTGGAGCCATCCTGGAGGCTGACTGTCTGTCTGAACCCCAGTGTTGTAGGGATAAAGTAAGGGTAATATTTTATCCTAAGAACTCACTTTCTGACACAGCATAGGGATTTCTGTATCTGCTTTGTTCCTAGGAGGCAAATATTTCCTAGAGTGGACTCTTCTGTTTCTACTTTGACATCTTTAGCAAGAGCTTCCTTAACATGCTATCTTCATCTGAAACCAGTATAAAACTTTTATTTTCCCCTTCCCTTCACACTTCCCCTTTGCCATCCCTTCTTTCAAACATTAAATGGCCATCATGTATCTATTTCAACATAATTGTCATGATAGAGTTTCAGGGCTGTCTCTTTGCTGAAGTTAACCAAAACCTCAATAATGCACCAAGCCACTCCAAGCCAGCCATTGTCACGTCCCAACTCACTGACAAGTTACTGCAGACAGATACGGGTTAATTATCATTTAAAATGTTTATCTTATTATTGTTTGCATTTCCAAAGCATTTCAGCTGCTGTAGGAGCCTAAATCACTCCTTTCTGTCTTGCACAGAAGTATTTTCTCGGTTCAGTTTTAGCATACCCCGGTCTCGCTGGCACTGCCACCGGCTGCAGTGTCCCGGTGCAGAGCAGGAGGTGGGCTGGGGGCGATGGCAGCCCTGCACCAGGTGGAAACAATTATGGGAAAAAGCCGTGGTCCACACTGGATGAGTTACTGCTGATAGCTGCCAGATAAGCTAACTTAATAAAGTGGTGGCTTAATTAAGCCGCATTCCTTGCATCTTGCCTTTCGTCCTGCCTGTCTGGGGCGATGCTATCAAGCAGCTACTGCTTTGCAAGATGGGGTGAGGGGTGCTTGTCCCATCGCATGACTGTGGGTCAGGAGCAGGCGGGACCTGTGGGAGATGGGACATGGGGGTGCTCCTGGAAAGCTCAGCTCCCCTCTCAGTCTGCAAGGTGATGGGCCACAGAAGCCTGCAACAAAGGCAGATCCACTGCTTCCCAAGTCATGGATGTTTTCATTGGTATCAAAGTTTGACCTTAAATGTTATCTTCTGACAGTCAGTGATTCAGGAGCAACTCAACCACCAGAACATAGGAGAGTAGCTCAGCATCTCCCTGCTTGTCCTGCAGCTACCAGAAAAAAAAAAAAGGGGGGGGACTTTGCTTTGGGAGAGACCCTATTGCTATGGATTTTCTTACAGGTAACACAAAAGCTAGACATAACCAAAATCATGGTGCCCAAAACCCTCTGCAAATTTATGCTTGTGCATGTTCCTGAGTGAAAATTGCACAAGAATCAGAAATAGCTATATTCTTAATAGCTGAAGCACCCCATTAAAAGCTGTAACAGATAAGTCTGACAGAAGTTTCTCCTTTTGGAAACCAGATTTAAAGTTAACAAATCAACTGTAGATCCAGATTTTAGCAGTTGAGCTTCTTGCACAGCTGTGTATTAGTTTGTGTTTGATACGTGCTCACATGTACAGCTGCATAGCGACTGCCTTGCTGAGTTATTCAGTAGCTAAAATTATCAGTGGGGACCCCCTCTTATCTCTCATTATGTATAACGAGATTGCTGCTGTGCAATGTTGATTAGACATGTCAACCTGGAGCTGGATGTCTGAAAATGAGTATTGCTATTAAAATGCCTTTGCTAATGATCAACTCACCTGTCCATCATTTTGACAGATTTCTCCTTAGGAATGTGAAAAGCTAAAGCACACAGGAATCCCAGGGTTGCAATGTAATATTCAGAGAAACTGGTATAGTTGTATTGTGTTTCCTGTGCGTTAACCCTGAAGTAGCACTTTCCCTGGCAAAACCATGCTGGTGGCTGAAGCTTGCTGTTGAAAACAGGCTGCACTAATATAGAGAGCTGTAATCTTGAACTGGGAACCAACTGTCAATGGGGATTGGTTTCTGGAGTGTGATCCTGAAAATAGGGCATCCCTCCTCTAAACCACTTCTCTAGGTGTGATTTAGAGCTTTCACGATGGAAAAATTCAACAAAAAATTAAAAGGGAGACTGAAAACAAGGAAATATATCTCAAAAACCTCTCATCCCCCTGTGGAACTCATTGCTGCAAGATGACTTTGAAGCTACGGATTTC